ATCACTTTTTTGCTGGAACCGCTTAGGGCAAAAACTTTGTATGTACATATCTTGCTGTAACTTGTGTTGTAGTTATTTTAATGTACTCACACATACACTGAGTAGCCCATAAGCTATTTGAAGGCCTATTTATTTCTGTATTCCCTATCACACTACCTGACAAGTAATGGGACAGTCATTATGTGTAGAAGTCTGTTGGGATTAAGAATAAAATAACAAGAAGTCCTTTGCTTCAGTCTCCTTCCCCAACGAGGACTGTCCCCTTTAGCATTCATTTAAAAAAAATTTTTTTTAAGTGTGACACCAAAACTCAACAGAGAATGGAGAGATTTGAGAGTTCTCTCATGAAGACTGGAGTAGAAACCCAAAGAGTCATGATCAATACTGAAGCATCTGGAGAGAGAGGGAGGGGCAGGGGGGAGATCTGAGTATTTAGAAATGAATGTCCGCATGTGGAGGTTGAGGAGAAAAGAAGAAAAAAAAATGCTGAGGAGTGGCCAAGGAAGTTGGAAAAAATTAATATGTCAGGGAGGTTGCAGTAAAAGATAATCAGATAATCATAAGAAAGCAGTGTTGGCAAGCGATGCTGTTGCATGCTAAGGGAAAGGAAGAAATGTAAAAAGTCATTTGTTTGATGAAATGACCTGTGACTTTTCAAGTGTTTTTCCCAGAGATTGGGGGGGTGGGGGCAGGGCTATAAATGGATTTTCATTGTCTGGCATCTCTTTTAAATGTATTTGTAATAAAGGATTTCACAGGTTAGCACCATTTCCATATACAAACGGAATCGTGAAACTGTAAGCCTTAGAGAAAATAAACTTTTATTTCTTGAGTATATTACATTGTCTAGCTCAGTATTAGGCATCTAGCATACATATAATAAAAACTGCTTATTATGGTTAAACTGACTCACCATAGGAGCAAGAAATCTTATACTGCGGAGGCGGGATGGGGAGGATGGAGGTGAGTAATCCCGGGCCCACTAAAGTTTAGAAACTAAGAGGAGAATGAAGTCAACACCGCCCTCAGTGACAGAAGCATAAACTGATCCTAGACCAGAAAACAGGTTTGAATGAACCAGGCCAGAAAAATGTGAAAATCGTAGCTAGAAAGGCCCAGCCTTCCATGCGTCCCAGGACATGGGCGACCCTTCCGGATACATAGGTACGTGAAGGCCTATTCGCCACCCCAGATACGGGGAAGAAATTGGGAAAGACATCGTGGGACTTGTTAAACGGGAAAGGATGGCACTGGATGAAAAGAAGGGAGCAACAAGAATGAGAGCAGAGGAGGGGGATGGGGAAGTGCTAAAGCTGGAAGAAGTGAAAACAAAAGGTTAGGAATACAGAATGCTATTTGCCTTTTCAGTGACATTTTGGTTTGTCGAACGGTTCTTAGAATTAAGAGCACATTGTCAGTGTCAGTTACCATGACTCACTTCTTTCAAGATTCATATACTTTTTTTTCTTTTCAACTACGGATGATGTTTAGGAATCTAAGAATTCTGCTTTTAGGAAACACATTATGATGGGTTTTTTCTTTTTTCTTTCTTTTTTTGGAAATGCCACTTTACCTAAACCTACTGTGAAGAAATGGCTAACAAATCCCAGTAGAAGAAATTAAAATTTTATTTCTCAAACTGTCTCAAGCACCAACTGTTGACTGTATTCTTTGCCTGAGCTTAAGAAATAGGGATTTGTGGTGAATTTGATCTACATAATCGAATCCACAATGTTACCATAAACACAACACCCTCCGATAATGTCATGGTATAGCTACTCTTTTAAACCGCAGACATTTTAGCTTCTTTTTTTTTTTTAAACCAAATACTAAAACAGTGCAGAACAAAAGGCTTGTTATATTTGACAACCTAGAAAGATCGTGAGACCCGGAGAACTCTGCCACATACAAGACTGGCATGAAGTGTGTGGAAAAATGGCTCGATGGATGGAAACTTGAATTGGCCATAAATATCAGGGATGAAGAACAACTTTCCAAAGTCAGGCTGTGGCCCAAGTCCCACTCTGGCCAGTTGGCTCTGGATGGAAAAAAGTCGGCCCAGCTCATAAGGAGAAGATCCATATCTGAATATTATTTTACCATAGAGCAAAGGCATGGCCTTGTGCCAAGAGAAGACAGAAGTTCTGATTATTCATGAGAACGGTAGCCTTCACCGTTTGAAGAAGCCCCATTCAGCATCCAGGCAATGGAAGGGGACAGTTGGGAAGCCTGGACGCCCCCCCAGGGCCCCAGACTCAATGCCCTCTGGTGTAGACCACGCTTGCTCTCGGGTCGCCCTGGGTACTCTCAGTTTAAACATTACCTTCCGTAGGGAAGTCAAGGACCGCACGCTCCCCATATTCCAACGCCACCATATTAAAAGCAGGAGTGGAGAACTTGACTGTATATTCTGGTCTTCGCGATCTGCCATTAGCTAACCACACACATCATTTTGAGTAAGCCAACTTAACTCAGTCTCCTGGGAAAATTTTGAAGAGTAATAATTTTTTTAAAAAACCCCACATATGAGAATCAGAATCCACATGAGAGGTCATTTAAATGAGAAAGCGAGAGTATCTTCAAAGAGGGAAAAAAAGCATTTAAACCTAAAATATTTCATTTCTAAGACGGATCTTATTGATAAAAGCGATTAAACTATTTGGGGACCTTATTTCTCTCAGGTTATTTCTAATGATCAAGTTCTGTGAAAATTCAACAAGGCCAATGGCTTTTTTTTACCAGAGTAAAAAAAGTGCACTGAAGCTCTCAATAAATTGGCAAATTTATTACTCCAAATATCTTGGAAAGAGGTCTAGGAAACCACAGAACTATGTATTATTATATAATATATATTATACTCTGTATACTGTTAAATTAACCTCATTCTCTATAATACCTCATTTAAACATCAGGTGATTCAAGTTATATATTAACAGGATGATAATTGGGGATTAACACAACTCTGGCTTGGAAAATACAATGTGAAGGGCACCTGCCTGGCTCAGCAGGTTCAAGCTCAGGTCCTGATCTTAGGATCCTGGAAATGAACCCGGCATGGGACTCTATGGTCCCTGCGGAGTCTGCTTAAGACTCTCCCTCTGCCCCTTGCGTGCACTTGCTCTCTCTCAAATAAATAAATAAATCTTAAAAAAAGAAGTGAGAGAGATAAAAAAAATACAATGCAGTTGCATCCACGCGTGACCAGCAGAGAGAGCGTCTACTGTGGTCCTGAATGGCTTCAGGTGGGCACGCCTCACAGATCTCACTTGTGGGAAGAAAACTGTCCCCAAGGGTGTCTGGGAACGGAAGGGGGTCGGGGGAGATCACGTTCCGAAGACGTAAAGCACAATTAGAGAACTCCCAGCACAAAAGTTTCTTAAAGCACAGGGTAATGGAAGGAGGTGTTTTTGTTTTGTTTTGTTTTTAAATAAAATAAGAAAAAATCGCATCCTATAGTTTCAGTGAGTGCAAGTCTCACCACTCTGAAGGCACGCACAGCCCCAAGAGGACAGGACGAGAGCTAATACCGCTCTAATTTCCTTTGACTCTAACTGGACTGTGCGTGTTTTTTTTTTTTTTCCCTCCCTGTGCGTGCTTTTTAATGATTTGGTCTTTAAAGTGCATCATTTACTTAAAAGGGCATATAATGAAGATGGAAAATGCATGCTTTATTTTGTGCTGGGAGACACGTCTTTTGTTTCACTATCAATACCTTGAAATATCTCCACGTATCAATTAGTCCCCAGCGATCGCGGGGCTGAATGGGCTCTACTGTTTCATCAACTTCACATTTGCCCAGGACAATGAAACTGCTTCCTGATGTTCTTAGTCCCAGAGCCCTGCTTGGCGACTAGCATCTCAGTCCTCTCCCAGGCCCATGGCTCCCACACAGGCGCACGCAGGCACACACCACCGTTCTCAAGCTGCTACAGCAACAAGCCCATCAAGAGGAAAGATGCTAAAAGGAAACTTCGAGGTCCCGCCCATTGTTCACTCTCCCTCATCGGCCACCTCTCCCCCTGCCCCCAAGCCACTCCTATTTTTTTTTTTTCAGTATATCCCCAAACTTACAAAGCAGCTGTTAACAAAGAAAAAGAGTTAACAGCCAAGTGTGTATCAGCGAGAGGTGTGTGTTCTGTGTGTTTTTGTTAAGGAGAAAGAGGTATGTGTGTGTGTTCAGGAGAGGAAGTTTTAGATTTCGTATGGGAAGCAAGGAAGGAGGTGAGTATATTCCTTGCTTTAAAAACGTTCATTTCTTAGAAACATCAACTCGGAAACAACGAATCGGGCCACTTCGTAATGAACATACCCCCACCTTTCTGTGCGGGAGCCTCAGAGTTCAAGTGCCTGTGTCCGGGGCGGTGGTTAAAGTCCGCATTCAAACGAGATGGGTTTCAGGTGTGTCTTTCTAAACTTTGGATGTGACCCTTTCCGGAGCCCCTCCCGGGCTGGCGGGCAGGACAAGGAGTGTCCCCGCTCCGTGAGGGCTTCTCGGTGTCCCCCGGCCCCGGGAAGCGCAACCCCCGCCGCCCCCGCCCCCGGGCACGGCACCCACAAAAGCCCCCGGACCGCCGGCCGCCCGCAAGCCCAGGTGCAGGCGGAGGCGCGGAGAAAGGACGGGAAGCCGAGCCCGGCTTGCCCGGGCGCCTCCCTTCCTCTCGCTTCTCCCCAGACACAGACACACCTCCTGCGGCAGGTCTTCCGGAGCGCGCAGCCCCGGCGTGGACCCCGCGGGCCGCTGGCACGCGGCGCGGAGGCGCGCAGGGCATGGCCCCAGCTGCTCTCCTCCGCTCACCTACCCGCACCCCGACTCCCGGACCCGACTCTCCCCCCCGCCTACGCACCCCCCCCATGCCTCAGGTGGCCCCAGGAGCGAATCCGTTTCGGGGGCAGCCCGCTCCCACTCGCACCACCATCCTCGGCTGCACCCGGGCCGGTGGGCGAGGGTCAGGGAAAGTGGCCCCGGGCGGCGGCGGAGCAGCGCGCCGCTTCCCACTTACTTGGAGTTGCAAACGCCGCACGCGCTCCGGCTGCCTTTGTTGAACGCGGCGAGGCTCTGCGCTGGGTCGGGTACCGGTGGCCGCTGCCCGCGCGCGCCTGCTGCGCCCTCCGTCCGCGACCGCGCCTCCCCGGGCTCCCGCTCCCCTGTCCCCGCTTCGGCTGGGGCTCCGCGCGGCGGCTCGGTCGGCGGGCTTTGGGACGGGCGGGCGGGGAGCCTGCTCCAGCCTGGGCCTGCGCTGCGCCCTGCCGGGGAGGGAACGGAAGGGAAATGGAGAAGGGGAGGGATGAGCGGAGCGGGCAGGGCGAGGACGCGGGCTGGGCGAGGGAGGGAGCGCGCCTTTCCCTCGCGAGCTGATTGGGAAGCTCATTAAAGGCAGGAGTCTCCAGGGCCGCTCTCCCCGCAGGAGCCAGCACGCGGGTTTGAACCAAGAGGCCGGGAGAGGAGACACTGTGTTTTGTTTGGAGCAGGGACCCGCACAACCTTTCTTTTCCAAACTTGGTGCGGACCTGTGCTTTAGGTGGGTGCGCGCCCGGCTTCACAGGGAGGATCGCTTAAATGGACAGCGGATGGCCTTTTAGGATACAGTGATGGCCTCAGACATTTGCTTTGTTTTGTTTAAATGATATTCGGGATGAAAGAGCCCGGACTTCAAAAGCAGCTTCTCCTTCCTCCCCACGCGCGAACACCCTCGCCTGCACCCGGCTCCAGGGCCTCCAGCTGTCAGCCCCGTCCCACCTGCGCGTCACAAATGTGCGAAGTCCTTTCTCGCGCTTGTCACCAAGAGTGACAGATGTCTGAAGGTTCCCAATTAAATGCCACTTTCCTTTAGGGGGCTCTTTCCTTTTTTGGCTTCCTTGGTGCCTTGAGTGACCTGTTTAGTGACATGCCTTTGACACCCAAGGGTTTAGAGGCTTAATGAATGGAGCTCAAACTCTGGTCTCCGTGAAACTCGGAGGCTGGGCTGCGTGGCTTTCTGGATTTTCATTATGTTGAGTTGAGAAACCAGGCTAAGGTAATAGGGCGAGGGTTGTTTGGGCAGCATGTAGATGTTTATGATACCGATGAGATAAAAGTATTGCATGTCATAATCGTGACATATAAAACAAATGTCCCCAAACATTTCAAAAAGTAAATTTCGCCGAGGTGCCTGGGTGGCTCAGTAGGCTAAGCGTCTGCCTTTGGCTCAGGTCATGATGATGTCAGGGTCCTGCTCTCTGCCCAAGTGGGGAGTCTGCTCCTCCCTCTGTTTTTGTTTGTGCGCTCTCTCCTCTCTCACTCTCTCGCTAGCACTTGCTCTCTCTCTCTCTCTAGCAAATAAATAAAATATATATATTTTTTTAAAGTGAATTTTGAGATTTTCTGCCACTTATCAGTTCTTGCCTGCTGCTGGTCTTCCTCCTTTTACTTCCTTTCAACCTATCATTGGACGGCATCCTCCCACAGATGGTTGCAAAGTAAACTTCCATTTCCCACAGTTCGGAGGTTACATCCCTTCAGTTCTGTTTGGTTAGTATCTACTAAATGCCTTAAGCAACTGAAAATTTACATTTGCTGAGACCCATACCCAACCCCCCAAATTAGAAGCATCGTTTTGTGGCGAATAGTTCCCAGTGATTTGGGGCTCCTACGTTGACTGCTACTGGACAATGTCCCAGGAGGGTGCCAGTTAGGGTCAAAGAGGTGTCTCCCCCAGTAGACCTTTTAATCAGTCAGTCAACCAATCATTTCTTTTGTCAAAAGGGGCAGAAATGCGCTTACAAACCTCAAGTCTATCCCTATACCTAGAGTCTTCATACACAAGCCACATACCATCCTAAAGCAGAAATAAGTGAATAAGGAGCTGTGTCCCCTCGACTCACGGACTGCATGTTGCCTCTTTCCCCTTGTGATTCCATTTTCGCAGTGACGAAGCCATGTTGGTTTCAGTGTGATTTCACCTGGATAAATTGGGGAGGTATGCACTTTGTTCTTTACTATTTTTATAGTAAAAAAAAGGCTCTTTTCTGAAACATGCTTCTCAGCATTCACTGTCACTCCTGAAGTATAGAAGCTTCTAGGCCTTTAAACAAAGGGTTACTCATTTTCTATTTCTTCCTAAGTTTTATCTTAACATTTACAGATGTAACATGTTGCTCGTCATTACGGGGCTTACACTACAGAGCTGATAACGTAAGCAATGGTATCCCCATGATTTCCACGCCATAACATGTATTATATAAAAAATAGAACCCTCTATTCAAATACGGATATATGAGAATTATTGATATCAGGGCTTCTCAACCAGGAGCAAGAATCGTTGCCCTCCAGGTGACATCAAACGATGTCTGGAGACATTTTGGTTGCCACAGCTTGGGGGGGACGGTTGCTACAGGCAAATCTAGTAAGTGGAGACCAGGGATACTGCCAATCGTCCTACGATGCCCAGAACAGCTCCCATAATAAAGAATTATTTGTCCCAAAATGTTAATAGTGCTGAGATTACGAATCACTTATTAACTATCATACTTTTAAAACATAAAGGAAGACTAAAGAGTCTTTTTTAAGGAATAGTAATCTCTGAGGTTGAGATTAGTCATAATTTACTTCAACCCAGCATTTACACCAAAGTTAAAATGGAAGGTATTTTCACCGGGACTCTGAAGCGTTCACTTCCAAATCCAACCTTCCTCCTGTTGCCTCATCATGGGTCTGCTGATTCAAGATTTCAACTCATTCTGTTCCTTTAGCCAACAACCTTTGAAGACTCAAGTTTTTGATTGAATAGAGCCATGAGCAAAAACAGATAAAAATCCCTCCTGCGATAGAGTTTAAATTTTTGTTTACATAAATAAACATGTTTAATTAACTAATTAATTAAATTTTAAAAAGACGTGAGGAGTGCCTTGGGGGTGGAAAAAGACAATGAAACAATTTGTGGGGTGGAAAGGTCCTGGGGTGAAATTTGAGTCAAAACCTAAAAGAATTATAAAATGTTCATGTAAATATTTGGGAGGAGACCACCAGTCAAGGGGATCAGTCAGTGCAAAGGCCCTGAGGTCTGACCTTGCCCCATGTGTTAGAGGACCAGGAAGGAAGCCACTATGGCAGGAACTCAGTGCATGGAGAGAGGCATCCAGGCCAGGCAAGTAATGGGCCAAATCATGCATGGCCTTTGTCTAATGTAAGGAGTTCTACTTTTGCTCTGAATGAGGTGGGAAGCCATTGAGAGTAACAAAATCTGACTGATTCCCCATGGTCTCTCTGTGTTGAATAGCCCACAGGTGGGCAAGTGCGGAAGCAGAGGTCCCAGATAGAAGGCTACTATAGTAATCCACTGTCCAAAATTCTTCTCCCTGTTTCTTGTGAAAAACAACGAACTGCAAACACCCTTTCACACTTCCCCTGCCCCCAGACATGCCCCAGCGTTTGCTAATGCTCACCCTCCCTGCCAGGGACCAGCTTCTCCAGGTGTAATTAATGGTCCCCTGCATGAGGGCTACCAGGCTAAAATATAACCCACGCAATACAATCTGAAGACATAGGAATTAAAACGTGTCCTAGGGGTGCTTTGAAAATGAGGCCACTGATTTTGCAGTGACAAATACAAGGAGAAGCGTCATCAGCATGGAGTGAAAAAATGTGAAGGAACTGGATGAAAAATTTGTCATGTGTCTCGCAGATCCCCTACTTGGCAGGATGTCTGGATTCTCGATTACCATTCTGAGTGCTGCAGTAGCCCTAGAATGCAAAAGGACAAGCCATCAGGCTCACACGGTTTGATGGAAATCCCATTAATACACTTCTCTTCATCTCTCTGAAATATCCCAAAGGTTAAAAAAAAACTATTGTTTTGATCACTGTAACTGGATTACAAAATGTACTTCTCTATTAGATAATTTTCATAATGCTTGTGGGGTTTTAAATTTATTAAAAAAAAAAAAAACAGAAGGGGCGCCTGGGTGGCTCAGTGGGTTAAGCCTCTGCGGCTCAGTGGGTTAAGCCTCTGCCTTTGGCTCAGGTCATGATCTCAGGGTCTTTGGGATCGAGCCCCTCATAGGGCTCTCTGCTCAGCAGGGAGCCTGCTTCCCCCTCTCTCTCTGCCTGCTGCTCTGCCTACTTGTGATCTCTCTCTCTGTCAAACAAATAAATAAAATCTTAAAAAAAAAATCAGAAAACTCAACTAAAATGGCTTAAATATTTTGGGACTTTATCTCAACCAGACTTGGTAAAGTCGGTGTTTCAAAGTCTTCCAGGACCCGGCTGTTTCCCTCTTTGACTCTGCGTCTTCAGTTTGTAAACCGAGGCTTTTCTGGATGGTTTTGAGGAGCTTCAGGCATATTTGGCTTCAAGTAAATAAGGCCCAAGTAGTTGGGGTGGGATGGGGCCATTGGGTGATGGGTGTTAAGGAGGGCACGGGATGTAATGAGCACCAGGTATTATGTGTAACTGATGAATCACTGAATTCTACACCTGAAACTATATATATATATATATGTGTGTGTGTGTGTGTGTGTGTATCCATATGACTAAATAGAATTTAAATCAAAAATTTTAAAAAGATAGGTAAATTAGGCCAAACCCAGTAGAGAAAAATCCAGCCTCCCCAGTCACTGTGACCACAGAGACCACGCCAGCAGAAGGAAGAGGTAGAACAGATTTGGGAAGCAACAAACAATGCCTATAAATTTTATAAACTTACACTTTTATCAGTCAAGCAGCTATGAGTCTCAGTTGCTTGGCTTAAGCCTGTCAGTCTTGTCTCTCTTATCAAGAGCGGCTAAAATATCAACGTTCTAAACTGGCAAAGCTGAGGACCAGGCCTTGGGCCTCCTCCACACTCACCCAGCAAATCAGGCCTGAAATACCCAAGAGCTGGAGCGTAAGAGTTACAAGAAAGTAATCTGCACACCAGTATCCCTCGGGAAAATAAATGCTGAAGCCCTTAACACATATCATCGAATCACTGCCAGGAATGTGTAAAAATATGACCGTATTCTACCACATTGGGTGATTATCCCTGGAAAGCAAGTTTGGTTTTCCATGTGAAAATCATACAGCATAATTCACCATATTAGCAAAATAATTAGAGGAACAAAAAGAATACATTTACATACAGGGAGGAAAAGGCATTTGAAAACATTCAACACCCATTCATTATGAAAATTCTCAGCAGGTTAAGAATATAACTGATTATCCTTGTTCTGCAGAAAGCCCTCAGCTACTGTGACACTTACTAGAGAAAGTGAATACTTTCCATCAAAGATTAGGAACGAGGCAAAAATCTCCATTGTTAC